AAAACTTTTTTTTAATTTATTTTTTATTTTTGACAGAGTGGACAGTGAGAGAGAGAGAGACAGAGAGAAAGGTCTTCCTTTTGCCATTGGTTCACCCTCCAATGGCCGCCACGGCCGGCGCACTGTGGCCGGCGCATTAGGCTGATCCGAAGCCAGGAGTCAGGTGCTTCTCCTGGTCTCCCATGGGGTGCAGGGCCCAAGCACTTGGGCCATCCTCTGCTGCACTCCTGTGCCATAGCAGAGAGCTACCCTGAAAGAGGGGCAACCGACACAGAATCCGGCACCCTGACCGGGGCTAGAACCTGGTGTGCCGGCGCCACTAGGCAGAGGATTAGCCTATTGAGCCACAGCGCTGGCGCCGGCCCATTAAAACTTTTTTTTAAGATTTTTTTAAAAAATATTTTATTTATTTATTTATTTATTTTTTTGACAGGCAGAGTGGATAGTGAGAGAGAGAGAGAGAGACAGAGAGAAAGGTCTTCCTTTGCCATTGGTTCACCCTCCAATGGCCGCCACGGCCAGTGCGCTGTGGCCAGCGCATCGCACCGATCCAATGGCAGGAGCCAGGTGCTTATCCTGGTCTCCCATGGGGTGCAGGGACCAAGTACTTGGGCCATCCTCCACTGCACTCCCTGGCCACAGCAGAGAGCTGGCCTCTAAGAGGGGCAACCGGGACAGAATCCGGCGCCCCGACTGGGACTAGAACCCGGTGTGCCGGCGCCGCAAGGTGGAGGATTAGCCTAGTGAGCCACAGCGCCAGCCCAAGATTTATTTTTATTTATTTGAAAGAGTTGCATAGAGAGGTAGAGCGAGCGAGAGAGAGAGAGGTCTTCCATCTGCTGGTTCACTCCCCAGATGGCTGCAATGGCCAGAGCTAAGCTGATCCGAAGCCAGGAGCCAGGAGCTTCTTCCAGGTCTCCTACTTGGGAGCAATATCACCATGACAGGGCCTGGAGCCGTCTGCTGTCACCTTGCTCTCAGAAACTGGCTTATCCTCCAGCCCCTGGCAATAGGAGTCATGGGTGGTGTCCCTGCTTGCTGCTGTGTGTTTGAACTGATCACACTGTCAATGGAGTCTCTGTTCTTTCTATAGAATTTCCACTGCAAACTTCTCTCCCTTGGGCACTCACTTCCTCTGCTTTTCTTCTCTTACCTTCCCCTGGCCAAAATCATATGTCTTTTCCCTATTCAGCCATCTTGGAATCCAACCACACTTTCTTTATCCATTTATCAAGTAATGGACATCTAGGTTGATTCTATATCTTGGCTAATATGAATAATGCTGCAATGACAGGGTATTTCCTTGATAATGCTGATTTCAGTTCCTTAGGATATATAACCAGAAGAGTGATAGCTCGATCATATGATTGATCTGTTTGTAGTTTTTTGAGGAGTGTTCATACTGATCATAAATGCTGTACTAATTTTCATTACCACCAACAGTGTATAAATGCTTCCTTCTCTCCACATCTTGGCCAGTGTTTGTTATTTTTTTTGTGTATGTGTATTTTTGCTGTTAGCCAGTCTAAGTAGAGTAAGATGATATCTGATTATGGTTTTGATTTGGATTTCCCTGATGACTAGTAAGACTGAATATTGTTTTCACATAGTCATCAGCCATTTGTGTTTCTCCTTTTGAGAAGTATCTATTCAGATCCTTTGCCCATTTATCAACTGAATCATTTAATGTTTTCTTAGTTTATTAATTCCTGAATAATATTCTAGATATTAATCCTTTTTGCATGAATAGTTCACAAATATTTTTTCCTATATTGTTGGTTGTCTCTTCCCTCTGTTGATTGTTTTCTGTGCAGAAGCTTCTTAGTTTGATATAATCCCATTTGATTTTTGCTTTTGATGTGCATGCTTTTTTTTTTTTTTTTGACAGGCAGAGTGGATAGTGAGAGAGACAGAGAGACAGAGAGACAGAGAGAAAGGTCTTCCTTTTTGCCGTTGGTTCACCCTCCAATGGCCGCCGTGGCCAGCGCGCTGCGACCGGCACATCGCGCTGATCCGAAGCCAGGAGCCAGATGCTTCCCCTAGTCTCCCAAAGACTTGGGCCATCCTCCACTGCACTCCTGTGGCATAGCAGAGAGCTGGCCTGGAAGAGGGGCAACTGGGACAGAATCCGGTGCCCCGACCAGGACTAGAATCTGGTGTGCCGGCGCTGCAAGGCAGAGGATTAGCCTGTTGAGCCGTGGCGCCATCCCAATGTGCATGCTTTTGAAAACTCTTTTTAAAAGTCTTGGCTATACCAATATCTTGAAATGTTTTCTCTATGGTTTCTTCTAATAGTTTCATAGTCTCAAGTCTTACATTTAGATCTTTGATCCCTTTTTTTTATATAGGGTGAGAGATAGGGGTAGGAGAGTTCAATCTTCTGCATATCCAGTTTTCACAGCACCATTTATTGAAAAGACTGTCCTTTTTCCAGTGTATGTTTTTGGTACCTTCATCAAAGATCAGTTGGCTGTAGATATGTGGATTAATTTCTAGGGTCTGTATATTGTTCCTTTGGTCTATGTGTTTTTGTGCAGTAACATGCTGTGTTTGTTATAATAGTACTGTAGCATGTCTTGAAATTTGGTATGATACACAGCAGACCCTAGAACGGCAGATGTCCTAAACAGCACTCTGGGCTCAGAATCAGCCCTTAAGGCATGCGGATCTTTTTTCCTAATTCTGTGAAGAATATATCAGTATTTTAATGGAGATTGCACTGAATCTGTAAATTAATTTTTTTTTTTTGACAGGCAGAGTGGACAGTGAGAGAGAGAGACAGAGAGAAAGGTCTTCCTTTGCCGTTGGTTCACCCTCCAATGGCCGCCGCGGCCGGCGCACCGCGCTGATCGATGGCAGGAGCCAGGAGCTAGGTGCTTTTCCTGGTCTCCCATGGGGTGCAGGGCCCAAGAACTTGGGCCATCCTCCACTGCACTCCCTGGCCACAGCAGAGGGCTGGCCTGGAAGAGGGGCAACCGGGACAGAATCCGGCGCCCCGACCGGGACTAGAACCCAGTGTGCCGGCGCCCCAAGGCGGAGGATTAGCCTAGTGAGCCGCGGCGCCGGCCTGTAAATTAATTTTAGTAACTGATATTTTAGTAATATTAATTCTTAGAATCTATGAAAATGGAAGATCTTTCTATTTTTTGGTGTTTTTCTCAATTTCTTTTATGAGCTTTTTGTAATTTTTACTGTGGTCTTCCATATTCTTGGTTAAATTTATTCCAAGGTGGTTTTTTTTTTGTAACTACTGTAAATGTGATTGATCTTATAATTTCTTTCTCTGTGAGTTTATTATTGGTATATAAAAATTCTGATTTCTCTATTTTTATATTCTACAACTTTAATGAATATACTTATCAATTGCTTTAGGTTTCTGTCTCTCTAGAATTATGTCATCTGCAAGCAGGGATAATTTGACTTCTCCCTTTCCTCTTTGTGTACTTTTATTTGTGTCTCTTTCCTAATTGCTGTGGCTAAAACTTCTAGTACTATATTTAATAAGAGCTGTGAAAGTGGACTGCTTCCAGATCTTAGAGGAAATGTTGTTATAGGTTTTACCTATTCAATACGATATTAGCTGTAGATTTTTTGTATGTAGCCTTTATTATGTTGAGGCATATTCTTTCTATACCTAATTTTTCAGTGTTTGTTTTTAAAATCATATATAGATATATAGATATTTAATTTTATTGAATGCTTTTTCTGTGTCTATTGAGGTGATCACATGATTTTTGTCCTTAATTCTGTTGACAGATATATATTTCATTTATTGATTTTTGTATGTTGAACCAGCCTTGAATTCCCTGAGATAAATCTCACTAGATTATGATGAATACTCTTGTTTTGTGTTGTTGGAAATATATTTTTTTAAAAGATGTGACTGCTTGAACACTCATGTTTTGGGGCAAAATAGGGAATGGCATGGCCTGAGAGTGAGAGTCAGGATGATTTGGTGCAATACTTAGCAGTAGTTGCCAAAGAAAATGAGAAAAGAATGGACTGAGATGAGAATCTAAAATTTTGGAAGCAAAATATAAAACATTGTATTTCACTATATTTTGTCAAATTCTTAATTTTATTTGGGGATTTGAGAAATTCTTTGAGAGTTCTTAATTGGTTTGAACTTTTTATATTAATGGAAATTATGTTTTCATGGAAATTTAGTCTTCTTTTGATATTTTTCATATTTGATCTTTATGAATGTTCCCTTCATCAGAAATGGAAATTGCCTTTGGAGATCCATAGCCAGGGGTAATTATTCACTACTGAATATATACTTGAAAAGTTAAAAGATGTTAAAAGATGATGTTATATGACAGAAAAGAGAAATGTTTAAGAAGAAATACAAGGGCCGGTGCGTTGGCTCACTAGGCTAATCCTCCGCCTTGCGGCGCCGGCACACCGGGTTCTAGTCCCGGTTGGGGCGCCAGATTCTGCCCCGGTTGCCCCTCTTCCAGGCCAGCTCTCTGCTGTGGCCAGGGAGTGCAGTGGAGGATGGCCCAAGTACTTGGGCCCTGCACCCCATGGGAGACCAGGATAAGTACCTGGCTCCTGCCATTGGATCAGCGCGGTGCGCCGGCCGCAGCGCACCGGCCATGGCGGCCATGGCGGCCATTGGGGGCTGAACCAACGGCAAAGGAAGACCTTTCTCTCTGTCTCTCTCTCTCACTGTCCACTCTGCCTGTCCAGAAAAAAAAAAAAAAAGAAGACATACAAGAATATTGTCATGCAGTAATACTGGCTTCCAGTTCTGTAGTTCTTTATAATTTATAAGGCCATTGTACTTAGAACCTCATTTTACACTTTAATAGCTCTGTGTTGAAGGACTTATTCCCATAGAAATAGATGTTAGGTGGATTCTGTATCAGAAAAATAACAATGAGAAGAGTTCAACTATAGCCACAAATTTCTGACATTAAGAATAGAAGATGTCATTGTGATGATTTCTCTGAAGTTTATTGATTATAATTAATTATATTCTTTTAAAAAACATACAGCATGGACATTGATGGGTCACTGACAGTGGACTGGAATGAATGGAGGAAGTATTTTTTATTTAAACCTGAAAGAAATGTTGAAGAAATTGCCCATCACTGGAACCGTTTTACTGTAAGTGACCTTTTTTTTACTGTTTTATGCTATGAGTCATGGTTATAAAAGTGTAGTGAATTATCAACTGTTAGAAAAGTAGGAGGCCAGAAAATCATCTAGTGAGGTATTGCTGATTGAAGGAGTGACACTATGCAACGTTATTTCCTCAGAAATTTGTATGATACCAAGAAAGAACTGGCACATAATATCTACTTCAACCAAAGGTTCAATTTGCAAAAGACACCCATTTATTGAGAATAACTACATACTTAAGAGTCGATGACTGCTATTTAGCACCATCATTCTTTATTGGAGTTGACTATTTACCTCCCTGTAAGTAGGAACTGTGAATTGCTGCTTGCTGTGTCTTGCAGTACTTTCCCAGGAAATATTTTTTGGATGAATGAACAAGTCAAAAATCGGAAGTCTCTTGAAAGAGTGGCAAACTTCATTTTTATAGATATAACACAGTCTGCTTTGTTCTTGTCCCCAACAACACTTAGTGATATATGCTTCCTAATTTCTTAAAATTCTCAAGGTTTCTTAAAATTTTTGCCTGGCAATTCAAGTTATAATCTACACTGTTCTTCAGTATCTCATGATTTATTTATGTATATCTTTCTATAACTCTCTGAAGTAGGGATTATTATTTCTATGTTATGAAAGAGAAAGCCACGGCAGAGAGAGGTTAAGTATAACACCTAAGATCATGAGCTGTAAACCATATTGCCTGATTAAGTTTCTCAGTGCTGCTACTTATTATCCCCGTGACACTGAGGACCTTGCTAAACCTTTCTAAGCCTCACTTTTTCTAGTGATACTGATGATATAATATTACTTGTTGCATGTGAGGATCTATGAGGCAATCCATGTGAGCCACTGAACAAATGCTTGCAATCATGACAAATAATTTTTAATTAAAAATGGTGCAGAGTTCTAACTGGTTAATGCACAGATTATCTGAGATAAGATAAGCATGTTAAATAAGGAGATAGAATTTTCATTGTGATCATCTAATTATTATTTTATTTTAATAGGGAATTGATATGGGAGATAGATGGACTTTCCATCATTTCATTGATGAAGAAAGAAAATCCGGTCTGCTATGGAAGTATCTGTGGGCTGGGGGCATAGCTGGGGCTTGTGCGCGAACATGTACAGCACCTTTAGATCGTCTGAAAACCTTAATGCAGGTATGTGGCATAGTTTGTGTGTATGCTTTCATGTAATTGAATAATACTTGATGCTTTTCAAACTAAGGATTTCAGAGGTGCTAATGTTCTTCTTTGGTAGCCTCATGTGCAAACTACTAATAACTTTCTAGACTCAAAGCTGCTGACCACCTGATGGTATAAAAATCAAATAATACCATGTTCTCATCTATATGCATTTTGGAGTTTAGTGCTAGATTTCTAAATAAATAATGAAAATAGTCTAAGAATCTAGCACTAGCATTTTAGGGAGGGCCAAATTAGGCAAGTTCCTTATTTTTGGAGGGGATGGTGATGAATCCAGACCATCCTCTGATTCCCTTCATGACATGGAAATTGTAACACCAGGATACACAGACTGGTCAAAAGTTGCACTCACTCTTTATTCTTCATAAAAAGCAAAGTTCTGTAGGTGGAAAGTCTTCAATTGTCTGAAAGGTTTTGTGGTCCCTTTGAAGATAGGGCAGGCCATAGAGAGGCTGCCTGAGCCTGGTGACCATGTCCCAGTTGGTCCAACTGTGTGACTGTAATAAGGGGAGCTGGGTCTCTAAATGTCTCATTGTTCTACGCAGGACAGAAATTAGGAGCATAGGACAACATTCAGTTCTTATCTCTTTTTACCTTTTTGAGCCATCAAGGAACTTTTTTTTTCCTGTAATTTTATAGAAACCTACAAAGCAAGCAAGCATACCTGGCTTCTGGTGTTCTGAAGTCAAAGCAGGAGAAAAGAACAAAATACCTTCTATCTGTGACTATTTTTTCATAGAATCCACTTGTTCTCAGCCCTGTGCCTCACTGAATTCTCTTTATTTTTAAGCCACTTTTGTATCTTCTGTTAATGGACTGTATTTTTGTTGTTGTTGTCTTCACTCACAGCCTGGATCATGTTGTTTTGGGCTTAAATATATATATGTATATATGTATGTATATATATATATGTATGCATATATGTATATATGTATATGTACTTCCATATATATATCTATATAAATATTTATTTATTTATTCATGTATTTGAAACTCAGAGTTAGAGAGGGAGAGACATAGAGTTCTTTTATCTGCTGATTTATTCCCCAGATGGCCACAATGGCTAGGGCTGAGGCATGTTGAAGCCAGGAGCCAGGAGCTTCATTCAGATATCCCACATGGGTAGCAGGGGCCCAAACACTTGAGCCATTCTCCCCTGCTTTTCCCAGGCCATTAGCAGGGAGCTGGATTGGAAGTGGAGCAGCCAGGACAGGAATTCCCACCCATGTGGAATGCCGGTGTTGCAGGTGGTGGCTTTACCCGTTATGCCACAATGGGGCCCCTGGGATTAATATTTGTATTTTATTTTATTTGAAAGATAGAATGAGAGAGAGATAGGGAGGGAGAGAGAGAGAGACAAAGAGACAGAGAGAGAGAGAGAGAGATCTTCCATCTGCTGGTTCACTCCCCAAATGGTTGCAACAGTGGTGGCTAGGCCAGGCCAAAGAAGAGTGGGAAGGAAACCAAGTAGTTGGGCCATTGTCTGCTGACTCCTGCTCACTTTAGCAGGAAGGTTGATCGGAAGTGTGAAGTAGCTGGTACTTGAACAAGGCACTCCGACATGGGATGTGGGCATTCCAAGGCAGGTTTAAGTGGGGTGTCATAATGCCACCCCTGGGCTTAATTTTTTTTTTTGCCATACTCATTATATTCAACGTACAGGGCACATTCTCTGATGTCCTCTCAAGGAGCTTTTCACTGCTCACAGGGACCATACTGATCATACTGATTAAAAGCTGGCAGCCACTATTAGCAATCAATTCTCTGAGTTTCAGTAGCTTTAAGTTTCCAGAAATGTTGCTTCCCAGATTGTTCTCTTGAAATGTATACTGGTTCACTCTTTTCACTGAAGGAGGACTATTTGCCATGACCTTGGAGAGCAGGAAAGAAACCGTGTCCATGGCATGTTCCTGTCTATGGCGTGTTCATCTCTGCCCTGTACCTCCCTGAGCTCTGTATGGAGCAAAACAAACCAGAGCCACTTACCATAGTTTTGGACCTTTAACTCTTTCCTGCCTGAGATTTTCGAAGTTCAAATACTATTGAGAGTTTCAAAGTTCTTCCTTTCCTTTTAAAGGCTCAGAGTTTAGAAACAAAGAATGTGAGGATGGTGAGTCGTTTAATGGAGATGGTGAAAGAGGGTGGAGTCGTTTCCTTGTGGAGAGGAAATGGTGTGAATGTCCTCAAGATTGCTCCTGAAACAGCTCTTAAGGTCTGGTCATATGAACAGGTAAAGCTGTGTAAGCCTGCAACAGTCAGTAACAAGGAAAAGTCATTACTTTTTACTTTAAAAAAAAATCGCTTCAGAGGATTACAATGTAAATGGAAAGAGTTATTAAGGTCTATATTGAAATATCATGACAATGTTATATTGTTATACTCATATTATCTTTGCTATATAGTTATAAATTTACTTTCTCTCAGTACTGTTTTTTAAAAAAGTTGTTAAAAATACGTTTTGAGAAAGAGAGAGAGAGAGAACTTCCATTGATTCATTTCTCAAATGCCTGCAATGGACCCCATCAGGGGCTGAACCTGGGAATAGGAACTCAGTGCTAATCTCCTAATGGATGGCAGGAACCCCATCACTTGAGCCATTGCACTGCCTCCCAGGGTCCCCATGGCAGGAAGCTGGAGTCATGAGCAGAGCTGGTATGGAACCCAGATCCTGGGACGTGGAATGTGGGCATCTTTAGCTGTTAGGCCAAATGCCCATGCCAAGCATTCCTTCTTTTTGGTTTTACTGTTTCCTCAATAACAGAGATTTTAGGGATTTGCTCACGTACAGGGAAACTTCACAGTAGTATACTAAATTCACTCAATTCTAACAGGAATTGGTGGAATCAAGGAAGCTGAAATGAAGAAGTGGGCAGAGGAGGGCTTTAGAGATTACAGATTTGTATTTGACATTGAATTCTGACATGTTCTAGCTGTGTGGACTTGGACAAGTTCACTGAACTTGTTCTATGAGCAAGTTCTCTCTCTGACAAGTTCTGTGAACTTCAGTTGTCTCATCCATAAAATGTAGAAAATAGGGGTGGGCATTTAGCCTAGCAGTTAAAATGCCCACATACCACATTTGAGTGTTTGGGTTGAATTCTTGACTCTAGCTTCTGACTCCAGTTTCCTGATGATGCGCACCCTGGGAGGCCATAGTAATGTCCCAAGTAATTGAGTTCCTGCCACTCACATGGGAGACCTGGATGGAGTTCCTGGCTCCTGGCTTTGGCATGCCATCTCTCCTTCCCCTGACCCCGACACTTTCCACACACACACTGTTGCAGGCATTTGAGGAGTGAATCAGCAAATCTGCATGTGATCTCTCTCTCTCTCTCTCTCTCTCTCTCTCACACACACACACACACACACTCCTCAAATACATTTTAAAAAGTGTGGAAAGTAATATCTATCTGGAAAATGGCCTGGTCACCTAGTAAACACTCAATAAACAGTGGTGACAAGTGTTACATATAGCATACCACGGGATGCTTTGGGAAAATGATACAGAGGAACCCAAACCTGGTTGAAGTGATAGAAAAGGCCTCTTTGAGGGGCTAACGTTTAACCTGAAACCTAGAGAGTAAGTGGAAAATTTCTAGTCAAAACAGAGAAAAGAATGCTCCAAGCAGAGGAGCGACATGCCCGAAGCCCTGACAGTAAAAGAGTAAGGCATGTTCAAGATACTGTAAGAAGCTCAGTTTCACCAATGTTCAGAGAGTGGATGAAAATGAGGCTGAGGAGGTATGGGGCAAAGTGAGGAAGGGGCAAAAGTCTGCAGGGAGATGAGGCAGGCCAGTGTGCAGTAACCAATGTAGGAGTCAAGAATAGGGTCAGTGGGGCTGGACAAGGGGACAGTGTCACAGGTACATAGGGAGTAGAATGGTTAGATTTTACCATAATTTATGTGGAATACAAGAGAAAAGATGTCAAGAATATACAGGGGGGCCAGCGCTGTGGCGTAGTGGGTAAAGCCACCACCTGCAGTGCCAGCTTCCCATATGGCTGCTCCACTTCCATTCCAGCTCTCTGCTGTGCCCTGGGAAAGCAGAAGATGACCCAAGTCCTTGGGCCCCTGCACCTGCATGGGAAGACCTGAAGGAAGCTCCTGGCTCCTGGCTTCGGATTGGCTCAGCTCTGGCCGTTGTGGCCATCTGGGGAGTGAACCAGTGGATGGAAGATCGCTTCTCTCTCTTTGCCTCTGCCTCTGCTTCTCTGTAGATCTGTGTTTCAAATAAATAAATAAATAAATAAATAAATAAATAAATAAATCGTTTTTTTTAAAGAATATACTGAAATTTCCAGTTTGTTCAACTGTAGCCATTTGTTGTAATCAGGGAGGACCTGGGCAGGACTGCCATAGCACATGTACCAGATCCTCAGGGCAGCATTCACAGCATACAGTTCCGTCAATGGCATCCGTCCCTTAGAAAGATCACAGGAGTTTAAAAAAATATTTTCTTATTTATTTACACAGAGAGAGGGAGAGATAGATATAATCCATCCTCTGATTCACTCCCTGCAATGGTCAGGGCCATGCCAGGCAGAACCCAGGAGCCAGAAGCTTCATCCAGGTCTCCCACTTGGGTTGCAGGGGCCCAAATATTTGGATTATCTTTTACTGCTTTTCCCAAGCTATTAGCAGGGAGCTGAATCAGAAGTGGAGCAGCCGGTACATGAACTGATGCCCATATGGGATGCCATCATTGCAGGTAGTGATTTTTCCTGCTCTGCCACATGCCAGCCCGAGTTCACAAGATTCTTTTGTTGGGGGGAGACATGTGTTCAGTTTGGTGCTTGTGGAGCTTGAGGTGCTTTTATTAATTAGGAATCTTTAGGTAAAATACAGAAAATGGCTTACATTGTAAACAGAATTTAAATTCATTTATTTATTTGAAAGGTAGAGTTATACCCACACACACACACACACACACACACACACAGAATCTTCTGTCCACTGGTTCACTCCCCAAATGGCTACAATGGCTGAGGCTGGGCCAAGCTGAAACCAGGAGCCTGGCACTCCATCCAAGTCTCCCATATAGGTGCAAAGACCCAAGAACTTGGGCTGTCTTCTGCTTTCCAAGACACGTTGTTAGCAGGGAGCTGGGTCAGAAGAGGAGCAGCTGGGCTCCAAACCGGTGCCTTTATGGGATGATGGCATCACAGACTGTGGCTTAATCTGCAACAACACAATGCCAGCTAACAGGAGAGCTCAAAAGTGAGTGGACTTCTGATAAGGCTTCATTTAACAGTTCAACAATGTCACCAAAGATCACTAATGTACCTCTGCCCTCCCCGTTGCTTCTCTCTGGCTTCTGTTGAGTGGGCTATCTTAGTATTCTAAACCTTGCCCTCCTTGTGGCTGAAAAGTGACCTCAGGAAGCTTCGAGTATTTTGTGCTATTTTGTGTGTAGCAGGAGAGAGCTTACTGCCCTAGAAGTTCCCTCAGAAGAGCAAGGAAGCATCTATTGAGAAGTCTTTCCAAAACATTTCCTTGAGTGTCAGTGGCTCAGATTATGTCATAATGAGTGTATTCATCCTTGAACTGACCACCATGGCAGAGTGGTAAGACGTACTGACCTTGAGCAAGAAACTAAAATAAAGACCACAGAGCCAAGGAAACATTCTACTGAAAACCCATCCTGTAAGGAAAATGTATTGTAGTTAAACATGCACTGGTAATGACCAGCTCTTCAGTTTCCAGGTGGTAAGCATCTTACACGTCTGTTGCATTTACTCTTCACAACAATTCTGTAAAGTAGGAACTGCTGGTATTCTAGCACCCCAAATAGACAAGGTACTTGGCCTTTGATTTCCAGATAATGAAAATGAGTTACAGAGGTGATTTGGGGACCTTTCTAAGGAACAGATACCATTTATTTGAAAAGTGTCCTGTGAATGGGACCCTGGGATGTGTGACATGGCAGGAGTCATTAAGTAGCTTGTTCTGGATCACTCAGTAAGACCCATGCTAAGACTGAAACCTGGGTTTATTTGTCATGTCATGTTGCCTCATTAAAATTGGACACAATTGCCATCAGAATTTATCTGAGTCTCAGTTGTTTCCACCTAAATGGTTTCCATTCTCATATTAGTTCACAATAATAATGAACACTTTATGGATGCCTGCTATATACTGGATCTTATTTTAGGCAAAGAGGTACAAATATCTCTACTGTTAAGGCTGGTACCTTATATCTGATGTGCATGACTGTATTTAGGTACTTGATTATATATAGTATACTATTTATTTATTTGAAAAGGAGAGATAGGGAGAGAGAGAGAGAGAGAGAGAGAGAGAGAGATATGGATGGATGAGAGGACAGGAGGGGAGAGGAAAGAGGAGAAGAGAGAAGAGAGGAAAAGAGAAGAAAAAAAAAGAGATCTTCCATTTGTTGATTTACTCCCAAATACATGCAACAGTCAAGGCTATGCCAGGCTGAAGCCAGGAGCCAGGAACACACTCCAGGTCTCCCACATGGGTGACAGGGCCCTGAGTACTGGGTCTATCACCTGCTGTCTCCCCAGGGTACGCATTCATTGGAAGCTGGATTGGATGCAGAGGCGAGACTCCATCCCAGGCACTTTGGCATGGGATGTGGATTTCCCAAGTGGCAGCTTAACCTGCTGCACCACATTGCCCTCCCCTGCGTTGTGGTTTTTAACTACAATTAAATGCCCAAGTAGTCATTGATATTGAATAAGTTGTATGCCCTCTGAGGCTTCTGAGTACTGATACACCTTTGCCCTCTTGTTTGCACAGTATAAATTGTTTCTTAGTGAAGAAGGAGCCAAATTAGGAACTCTCCAGAAGCTTGTGTCTGGTTGTTTGGCTGGTGCTACTTCACTCTCATTTATATACCCGATGGAGGTAAGCACTGTTGAAGAAAATGTGATTTAACCGCATTTTAAAATGAAAATTATGGCTAAGTTTTTCTTTTCAGATGAGCTGCAATCCTCTTATCAGTGGTGGAAATCATACTGAGTAGGGAAAATCTATTGCTAGGGCAGTATCACCAGAGCCCTGATATCTAAGTTGGCACTTCTGTTCCTGCTTTGTATTTTCTTTTTCTGAGGGTGTGATATATATATATATATTTTTTTTTGACAGGCAGAGTGGACAGTGAGAGAGAGAGACAGAGAGAAAGGTCTTCCTTTGCTGTTGGTTCACCCTCCAATGGCCGCCGCGGCCGGCGCACTGTGGCCGGCGCACCGCGCTGATCCGATGGCAGGAGCCAGGAGCCAGGAGCCAGGTGCTTTTCCTGGTCTCCCATGGGGTGCAGGGCCCAAGCACCTGGGCCATCCTCCACTGCACTCCTTGGCCACAGCAGAGGGCTGGCCTGGAAGAGGGGCAACCGGGACAGAATCCGGCGCCCCGACCGGGACTAGAACCCGGTGTGCCGGCGCCGCTAGGCGGAGGATTAGCCTAGTGAGCCGCGGTGCCAGCCTGAGGGTGTGATATTTCTTTCCATATGATTGTCAGAATTGGTTGCCAAATTTCTTCAACAAAAAAAGTCCAGTTAAGATTTTGATTCTGATTGCACTGAATACATTTTGGATAGAAATGATAATTACAATATTGAATCTTCTCATCCAGGAAAGAAGTCTCTTGCTCTCTCTCTTGATCTTTTATTCTTTGATAGAGGTTTCAAATTTTCTCATGTATTTTGAGGCTTTTATATTACTAGATACTTTGTGATATTTATTATTGTTATTATCATATTCCAACATTTTTCCTAATGTTTATTGCTGGATTTTTATGTTTAACATGTTTCTAGCCATTTTGCATTATTCTCCTTAATTCTAGTAATCTGGAACTCTAAAGACTATCTTTTAATCTTCGTTTATCTGAAATTTCATCATGAAATGTTAAAATTTGGACCTTTTTTATTCAACTTACTTTGTTAATTTTGGGTATTTTCAATGAAAATACTTGCATTTTTCGAGTCCGGGGAAGTTTTTTGCTATTAAAGTTTAAATTATGTTTTTCTTCTTTGATATTTTTATACTCATTCTGTAACTCTTACTTCATGAATATCAGAATTACTGATGATATCCAAAAGCTCTTAAGTCTCTATTTTACACTTTCCCTTTCTGATTTATGTTCTTGGAAGAATTAATTGACTTGGTATGCAGGTCATGAACTTATTCCGTAACTGTTTCAGTGTTGCTCTTTAGCTGATTTGTTGAATTTGTTTAATTATGAAAATGTATTACATTTATAAACCTAGTTTCTTTTTAAGCCTAGTTTCAATATACTCTTAACTTCCTCTGAGGGGGACAGGCGTGGCTTTTGAGATACCAGCATCCTACCTCAGAGTGCCAGTTTGAGTCCTAGCTCCTCCATTTCCCACCTAGCTTCCTGCTAATGTGCCTGGGAAGCAGCAGGTGATGGCCCAAGTGTTTGGGTCCCTGCCACCCATACAAACTAATTTTTTTAAAGATTTATTTATTTATTTGAAAGTCAGAGTTACACAGAGAAAGGAGAGGCAGAGAGAAAGAGAGAGAGGTCTTCTATCAGATGGTTCACTCCCCAATTGGCCACAATGGCCGGAGCTGCGCCAATCTGAAGCCAGGAGCCAGGAGCTTCTTCCGGGTCTCCCACACAGGTGCAGGGAACCAAGGATTTACGCCATCTTCTGCTTTCCCAGCCCATAGCAGAGAGCTGGATGGGAAGTGGAGCAGCTGGGTCTCGAACCGGCTGCCATGTGGGATGCCAGTGCTTCAGACCAGGGCGTTAACCCACTGCACACAGTGCTGACCCCTAAGACTAATTTCTTATATTCAAGCAGAGGATACAGAAAATAAACAATGTACACTAGGAGTAAGTAAATCATACAGTATTTTAGAAAATAAAAAGTACTTTCTAAGCTGGTATGTGCTATGGAAAAAGAAAATAATAGAACAGTGTTTGGGGAAGCAGAGGTGCCTGGGGTATGGGAGTGGCAGTTTTAAAGAGGTTGGGTAAATTCATTGAGAGGCAAGGATGTGAAAAGAAATAAGGGAATAACCAGGAGGATGCCTGGGGCTGAGCATTGCAGGCACAGGACATGATACAGAGGCCCAACATGGGAATGTGTCTGGCTAGCTCAGAAGCTGGTGTGTGGAGCAAAAGTGTATATGGAGTTGTAGAGCATGAGGTTAGAGGATGGAAGGGGGCAGATCAGAGATCAGAGTAATTTCGCTTATTACCCTGGTGTTATGAGGAGCCACTGTAAGGTTTATAGTAGATCTGACTACAAGAAGATTGCCCTGGTTGCTGGATTGTGAATAGACTAGGTGATAAGGTTAAGACGTGATGGAACTTATTCAGGAAAAAGGCTGGTGCTTTACTCCACATGGTAACAGTATGGTTGCTGAGATTCCAGAAGATAGGACCAAGAGAATTTCCTAAGGAATTAGATGTAGGGTGTAAGAAAGAAGAGATAAGGATGATTTAAATTTTTAGTCTTGAGCAACGAAAGGATGGAGCTGTCTCAGTTAACTGCAAGTATAGCAGATTGAGAAGGAAGATGAAAAAGTCAGGTTTTAGAAATATTGACTAAAATATTCATTGACTTATATGGTAAATATTTTATAAAACTCTGTAGCCATTCACAAAGTTTGTGTATATATGTATATGAGTATATATGTAGATGTGACTAAAATCCTAATATTAGAGTTATTAGAAAACTGGGTTTTATAGGAGCTTTTCTTTTCAGTTCTTTATCTGAACCATGGCACAAAAGCTGTGGCTATACTCATGTGTAATTTGGACCAAAAAAAGAAAGACATCACTGAATTCAGACACTATCTTCCAATATAGTTAAATTCATAAGTTTAACAAAAGCATTTAACCACTATATTTGTAAAATACTCCTTTGGAAAACTAAAATATCCCAGGAAACAGTATAAAAATATATGCATATGTCATTGAAAATACAGTTTGACCTAAGATTATACTGTTTTTTTAAAAAAACTTTAATAATGAATGAACTCTGCAGCCCATAATTCAAATTTAGCTTAGTCCAAACTGCTGAGTTAGATAACTATCAATAATCTTATAACATTACTTCTTTTCACATTCAGGTTCTAAAAACTAATCTGGCCATAAGCAAAACTGGACAGTACTATGGGATGTTGGATTGTGCCAGGAAGATTTGGAAGCTCGAAAAGTTTCGAGGCTTCTACAGAGGCCTCATTCCTAGTCTTTTGGCTGTCATACCGTATGCAGGCGTAGATATTACTGCTAATGAGGTAAGTTTGTTTTCACGACAGGCTTACAATAGATTTATTAGACCTGAAAATACAATATATCTAAATGTTTATCAGCTCATACATCTAAGGCGGTTAGTAATGAGCATGTTATTCACAGTCAATTTCGCTAGCTGCCCATCCTCAGGAGTATGTGCTGGCTTCCTAAAAGCACTGTCCTCAGCCTCCCTTCCCTCCCTGCACCCAGGTCACTCTCCCTTGGTGACTCATCTGTTGCTGACTTTCAGTATAGCTGGTGCACCTGTACCAGACACTCACAGGTCTGCTTTTTAACTTACCATCTTGACCACCAAGAAGACAGAATGACATTGCCTGGCTTTCCAAAATTTTTCCTAATGTCTAAAGTCTGATTTGGTTCAAGGTGTTTTTGTTCTGGGTTTCCTTGTGAATGATTTTTGGTAATTCTGGTGATCTCTAAATCAATTATAGTCATTTGATTCTCCAAAATCAAACAAAGAAACAAAAAAAAGAGAAGAATAAAAGGGAAAAAGTAATACAAAAATAATTATAACCTATTTCCATGTTATTGGTATACAGTTTCACTTTAGGGATTTCCTGTCGCTGATTTTGATGGACTGTTGAACATGGCCATTCCTTATCTAACTCCCTCTGTCTTTGGTAGTCCTGAATACCTTCCACCCCGCCATACTTACTTCATTGATTGTCTTGATAACCTTGTCAAAAATCAGTTGACCATAACTGTAAGAGTTTATTTCTGGTTTCTCAATCCTATTCCACTCATCTACATACCAATTCTTATGCCAATACTTCACTCTTCTTGATTACTGTAGATTTGTACTAAGTTTTGAAGCTGGGTCCTGTGAAACCTGAAGAATGGTTTTTCATTTTTCAGCTCTTTTGGGTTTCTTACATTTCCATATGGACTTTAGGATCAACTGATTTTAGAAGTTTTAAAACAGTGGAAAAATATGAAATAATATTTCAATATGTTGGCAGAATAAGGGAAGTATGCTGTCATTCTAGGGAAAACTTAAGGATTCACTTAAGCTTTGATGATTATAAATTTCAAATGAGACAAATCATGATGGCTGTTTAGTTTTTCAGCAATGTTTGGCTGCAAGGGACTGAGTATGGAGTAAGCAGAGCTAGTTTTAAGCCAAGTGATTCTAATCATGCCAACACAATGAAGACAGAAAAAAGTAAACAGGAGGATTGTAAGGGAATAATAGGACCTATTTTTTGAGGTTTTATGAGTATTAAATTATGTGAAATGATTAGATATGCCCTTGCATGTGAAAAGTGCTATGTATATGTGAAATATCATCACCATCATCATGATAATCAATTTCTCCTCAGAGATACTATCTCTCTTTCCTGCTGAGGTTGACTATTTTACTTGACTCTTGATCCACATTTTTGCTCCATCAATATTCCCTTTTATCAGATGGTGATCACCTTCAGGTCTCTTTTGCAAAATTAAACATGGCAGACACAAGTTTTTTCTCTGTTACTCCATCAAGTGTCTACCATCAATTTTTCATTTGTTAACTTCCCTCCAAAGGATGTGAAGTATCATCTATACTTTATTTACTCTGTTTATTCTTTCCTTAACCTACTGTAGTCTGATTTCTAATCTTTGATCTGCTGTTGAAGACTTAAATAAAAGTCCTAAGTGAGTCTGACAATTAGCCAAGTTTGGGAGACATTAAATGAGGAAATCTTTAAAAGCAATGTATTAGTTTGCAAGGGCTGCCTTAACAAAATACCGCAGCCTGGTCAGCTTAAACAGCAGGAACTTCTTTTCTCACAGTTCTGGATGGCAGAATTCTTTTTTTTTTTTTTTTGACAGGCAGAGTGGACAGTGAGAGAGAGAGAGAGAGAGAGACAGGGAGAAAGGTCTTCCTTTACCATTGGTTCACCCTCTAATGGCACTGTGGCCGGCACACCGCGCTGATCCGAAGGCAGGAGCCAGATGCTTCTCCTGGTCTCCCATGGGGTGCAGGGCCCAAGCACTTGGGCCATCCTCCACTGCATTCCCGGGCCACAGCAGAGAGCTGGACTGGAAGAGGGCAACCAGGACAGAATCTGGCGCCCTGACCAGGGCTAGAACCCGGTGTGCCGGTGCCGCAGGCGGAAGATTAGCCTATTGAGCCGCGGCGCTGGCCTGGATGGTAGAATTCTAAGATTACGAGGTTGGCAGGTTTGATTTTGAGATATCTCTCCTTGGCTAGCAGATGGCCACCCTCTCACTTTGTCCTCACATGATCTTTTCTCTGTGTACATGCGTGTCTTCATCTAATTTCCTCTTCTCATAAGTTTACCAGTCGCATTGCATTAGATCACTTCTTAAACACCTCATTTTATCTTAAAATACAGTTTCTAAATATAGTTACATTCTGAGATATGGAGGCTGGTTAGGAATTCAACATAAGAGTTTTGGGAGGGTACAATTTCTTTTAAAAGATTTGTTTCTTATTTCTTTTAAAGGCTTGAAAGGCAGAATTGGGGAAGAGAGAGAGTCAGTCTTCCATCCACTGGTTCATTCTCCAAATGGCTGTAATAGCTGGCCAGGCCAAAGCTTCTTCTGGGTCTCCCACGTGGGCGACAGGGACACAAGTACTTGAGTCATCACTTGCTGCCTCTCATGGTGTGTATTAACAGGAAGCTGGAATCAGAACCCAGGTTCTCTGATACAGAAGCAAGTGTCCCACATGGTATCTTAACCACTGTGCCAAATGCCTGCCCTTATTGAGCACTTTTAGATATTAAAACTATTTTGGTATTTAAAAGTCAATTTAACCATGTAGCTAAATCATTGCCTGCAGACTTGGGAGTGGGAGGGAGGAAGTCCTTGTGACTGCTTCTGAGGGTCTATGAAGTCTAAAGTATTTTTGTAACTCTAAGATGTTATTTACCTTTGTCAATCTCATTTTCTTTTAAGCATGGGGTTTTCCCAGAGGCACATCATTGCTCTGATGGCTGATAATGCATTCTTGTGTATAGTATTTTTTCTGTTTCAATATCTAATATGATATTTAACATTGATAGATACAACCCATATGAACAAAACTTTTGGGTGTCCTAAATAATTATTATGAGTGTCAAGGGATCCTGAAACAAAATATTGCTCTTAGAGGAAATGCAGTCTGACAAGTTAAGCTTCCCTAAATGTTAGACAATCAGAACTTTGGTGAACCAGGGCAGGTCATCAACTTCCATCACTAAGGTTGTCTTACTTATGGTTCTTTGTACACAGAGAACACCTCTGGATAGTTCTAATTGCTAGGCTGATATTCAGGAAAAGAGGTAAGATTTAGGCCATTTGAGTCCTTGAAATAGTGGAGGTTTTACTAATTGCCTTAAATTAGACTAAAAATGGGTGGTTTATAAATGCATAAGAGATTTTTAAAAGCTTGTGGAGGCCGGTGCTGTGGCTCACTAGACTAATCCTCCGCTTTGCGGCGCCGGCACACCGGGTTCTAGTCCCGGTCAGGGCGCCAGATTCTGTCCCGGTCGCCCCTCTTCCAGGCCAGCTCTCTGCTGTGGCCAGGGAGTGCAGTGGAGGACGGCCCAAGTGCTTGGGCCCTGCACCCCATGGGAGACCAGGATAAGTACCTGGCTCCTGCCATCGGATCAGCGTGGTGCGCCTGCTGCAGTGCACCAGCCGCGGCGGCCATTGGAGGGTGAACCAACAGCAAAGGAAGACCTTTCTCTCTGACTCTCTCTCTCACTGTCCACTCTGCCTGTCAAAAAAAAAAATGCTTGTGGAGAATAGAATTAAAAGATAAGTTTGTTTTGGTGCAAAGAATGGAAATCCAGGCATAGTTTTTTCATAACCTATATTTGTCACATACTTTTTGCACACTCTTGTATTTCCTAAGGCTCTTGCTACTTTGGACTAGATTGCTGCATTCTGTATTTGATACTTTCTGCTATAATGTGACACAGAAGATAAGAATTTATGCCTAGGGTGAGAGAGAGATTAATTTTTTATTATTTTGGTTTATCTTGTAGGAGTTGTTAAAGTGTGTTATTACTTTGTTCTCTGTCAGCTTTTGAGGACTCGTTGGCTAAATACTCAAGCGGAAGACCCTGAGTTGGTGATTTTGCTGGGATGTAGTGCCTTGTCTAACTTCTGTGGTCAGATTGTCAGCTACCCCCTCTTCCTAGTGAGAACTAACATGCAGGTTCAAGGTGAGTTTTTGTGAGAAGGATGACAGTGTAAAAAACCCTACATGGCCTAGGGATTTTGTTTCCATTTTCTGCTCTGAAGACAGTCTTAGAATCCTTCTCGTTTTCATCACTCAGTGCTAGCTCTCTTAAGAACACAAAATTAGGAAATTCTTCTCATATGAGTGATAATGGTGCTATTTATTTCAAATTGAGTTTCAAAAATCAAATTTGAATTTTATAACAACATAAAGATGCAATACAATGCTTTCAGTGTTTATGTGTGGCTACACTGGAGAAGTCCTATCCTTTTTTAAAGTTTTTCATTTTATTTGAAAGAAACGCGTGCACACACGCGCAAGAGAGAGAGAGAGAGGGCGAGAGGAAGGGCAAGGGAGGAGAAGAGAGATCTATCTACTGGTTCACTGTCCAAATGACTGCAAGAACTGGGGCTGGGTCAAGTGGAAGCCAGCAGCCTGGAACTCCATCCTGGTCTCACTCAGGGGTGACAGGGGCCCAAGCACCTGGGGCATCCTCTGCTGCCCTTTTAGGCACGATAACAGGGAGCCGGATTGGAAGCAGAGTTAGCAGGACTCGTACTAGCACTCTGATACAGGATGCTGTTGTTGCAAGCGGCAGCTTAATCCACTGCACCATAATACCAACCACATACAGTTTATTCTTAACCCAGAGTTCATAAGATTGTGATTATAAGGGAGTCAAAATTTCAATATCCTCAAAATGACTTTAAAACTTTTTTACAACATGAGATGCAGTGAGTCTATTTTGCTTAGAAAGAATTCAATTAAATATTTGCTGATAATTAGCAAAAAATGTTATTGAAGTCCAAAAAAGTATATTCTGTCTTTCACTTCAGTTGGCGGGGGGCATTGTGGCACTTTGGGTCAAGCTACAGCTTGGGATGCCTGCATCCCATATTGGAGTGCCTAGTTCTAGTCTCAGCTACTCCATGCTTCTGATCCAGCTTCCTGCCAATGTGCTTGGGAGGTAGCAGGTGACGGCCCAAATACATGGGTCCCTGCTATCTACATGGGAGATCTGAATGAAGTTCCTGCTTCTTGGCTTCATTCATTCATTTGAAGAGTGAAGATCTCTCTCTGTCTCTCCTCTTTTTCTGTCATTATGCCTTTCAAGCAAAGAAATCTTTTAAAATTTATAAAAATTTATGGCCTTTGATTGCAGGAATTTTTACAAATGTATACACCTATGTAACTAACTACCACAGTACATTTCCATCATTCCAGAATGATCCCAGGCAATGAACGTGCTCGACCCAATGTAATTATTATTCTTTTATCACCATCAATAAGCAAGTTTACCTGTTCTTGTAAGCTATGTAGATTCTTGAAAAACCATGTGTGTTTTTGCGTGTAGTCTTTGCCATATAGTAGTCTCTTATATGGGTACCTCACTTTAATTATCCAATGTACTGTTGATGGATATCTGGTTTGTTTCTAGTTTGGGGCTATTATGAATAAAACTGCTATGAACATTCATGTACTTGTCTTTTGGAAAACAGAAGCATCATATATCTCAGGTATATATACCAGGAGAAGAATTGTTGAATCATATAGTCAACATATATTAAGATTTAGTAGATATTGCCAAATTCGTTTTCCCAAGTGCTAATACTGATTTACACTGTAACTGCAATGTGTAAGAGTTCCAGCTGCTCTACATCTTTGCCAGCCTTCTTACTGTATATCTTTTAATTTAGGCTTTCTCATGATTGTATAATAACATCTCTTCATGGCTTTAATATACATTTTTTGCTGAATAATTTTGTTGAACACTTCTTTATGTGCTTTTTAAGATTTGGATGTCCTTTCCTGTAAAGGGCCTGACCAGATGTTTTGCTCATTAAAAAAAATTAGACTGTTTATCTTTTTTTTCTTTCTGATTTGTAAGCATTCTTTTTTTTTTTTTTTACCTAGAAACCTTTATTTTAAGGTATACAAACTTCATACATTTCATATGTATAAATTTAGGAATATAGTGATTCATCCCACCTTTTTCTCACTCCTGCCTGCAATCCTACCCCTCTTCCTCCTCCCTTTCCTATTCCCATTCTTATTTTTTATGAGGATCCATTTTCAATTATTTTTCCCATATAGTTATGAATTGATCCAACATGATTCTCTTACCATTGACTTTTTTGGTAAATCAGATTATTTCACGTATGTTGACCTGTTTCTGACTTCTCTACTGTGTTCTTTAACTATTTGTTGATCCTCTCAGCAGTCAATTGTCTTAAGTACTATAGTTTTTTATAAGACATCTTTATATCAGGTATTATAAGGCCTCCAATGTTCTAAAGGATTATTTTTACAATTCTTATTTCCTTGACTTTATGCAAATTTAAAAAAGGATTTATTTACTTATTTGAAAGAGAGAACCATCTGCTGGTTCACTCCCCAAATTGCCGCAATAGCCGGGGCTGGCTCAGCCCAAGGCCAGGCTCAGCCCAAAGCCAGAAGCTTGGAATTCCATCTTGGTCTCCCATGTGGGTGGTAGGAGCCCAAGTCTTGGACCATCTTCTGCTGCCTTCCCAGTGCATTAACAGTTGGTTGGATTGGAAGTAGAGCAGCCAGGACTGGCCAGCACTCATGTGGGATGCCAGATTAATCTGCTGTGCCACAATGCTGGCCCTTATGTAAATTTTTTTGCCTGTGCAGGTTTTAAGATCATCTTGTCAATGCACACAAAAAATATTCTTTTGAGGTTTTGAAATTGTTTTGAATCTATAGATAAAATTGGGAATAATTTATATCCTAAAAAATCTATGAATATGATATATCGTACCATTTTCTTACATCTTATTTAATGTCTTCTAATAATGGTTTATAGTTTTCAGTGTAGAGATGGAATAATTTTTTGTTAGGTGTTTTTTATTGGTGATTAATTTTTTTGTTGTTATAATAAATGGATTTACCCAAAATTCATTTTCTAGGTGCTTTCCCCCCCAGCTTTTAGAGATGTATTTGAGTCTAGAACACTGATCTTCACACTTTGCTAAAAGTGTATGTTAATTATAATAGTTTATCTGCCTTTTGTAATTTTTACATACACAATCTTACCTTCTGTGAAGAATGACAGTTTGCTTTCTTCCATTCCAGGCTTTAAGCTTCCTGCTTCTTTTTCTCACCTCATGGCACTGGCTAGGACCTCCAGTGCAATGTTGTGATGATAATGGGCAGAGGGATATATTAATCTCCTTCATATTCACAGGAAAATTGTTTAATAATTCACCATGGAGTAGGATGTTTGCAGTGGACTTCTTTTTTAAAGATTTATTTTATTATTTATTTGAAAGTCAGAGTTACACAGAGAGAAGAGAGGCAGAGAGAGAGAGAGAGAGAGAGAGAAAGAGAGAGAGAGTTCACTCTCCAAATGGTCTCTTCCAGGTCTCCCACACGGGTGCAGGGGCCCAAGCACTTGGGCCATCTTCCACTGCTTTCCCAGGCCACAGCAGAGACCTGGATGGGAAGAGGAGCAGCCAGGACTAGAACTGGTGCCCATATGGGATGCTGGCGCTTCAGGCCAGGGCGTTAACCTGCTGTGCCACAGCGCCGGCCCCTGCAGTGGGCTTTTGGAATATACACCTCATCAAGTAAAGATGGCCTCTTGTAGTCCTAGTCCATGGGAACAATCATGATTACATATTGAATTTTATCAAATACTTTCCCTATATCTATTATAATAATACTGTAATTTTCTCTGTGACTGTATTGATTTGTAAGTGTTAAAACTACCTTTTAATTCTGGAAAAAAATTCCATTTAGTCATGTTTCATTACAATTTTATATATTGTTGGACTTGACAGATAATATTTTGTTAGGAATTTTGCATTTATAATCATGAGAAATTTGGATTGTAGTTTTCTTTTCTTATAGTGATGTCAGTTTTTTGGTATTAAGGTTATATCAATTCCATAAAATGAGTTAGGAAACATTCCCACTTTTTCTACTCATTGGAAGAATTTGTGTACAATTGGTATTTTTTTCTTAAATATTGGGAAGAATTCACCAGTAAAACTATTTGCGCTTGGATGTTTTTGATGAAAGGCTTTAAATTAAAGATTTGAATTTGTAAAAGCAGAACAGACTTCAAGTCTTTTAAGACTGTGTAGGCTTTCTACTTTTTTTTTTTTTTTTTTTTTTACAGACAGAGTGGACAGTGAGAGAGAGAGACAGAGAGAAAGGTCTTCCTTTGCCGTTGGTTCACCCTCCAATGGCCGCCGCGGCCGGCGCACCGCGCTGATCCGATGGCAGGAGCCAGGAGCCAGGTGCTTTTCCTGGTCTCCCATGGGGTGCAGGGCCCAAGCACCTGGGCCATCCTCCACTGCACTCCCGGGCCACAGCAGAGGGCTGGCCTGGAAGAGGGGCAACCGGGACAGAATCCGGCGCCCCAACCGGGACTAGAACCAGGTATGCCGGCGCCGCTAGGCGGAGGATTAGCCTAGTGAGCCGCGGCGCCGGCCCAGGCTTTCTACTTCTTTTGGAAATTCTGAGATAGTGTGTTTTTCAAAGAATTTGCTCATTTCAACTAAAACGTGTAAGTTTATCAGAATACAGTCATTCATAATTTTCTTTTGTTGTACATTTAATGATTGTAGATTTTATAATGATGTTTCCTTTTTCATTTCTGATATTAATGATTTGTCCCTCTTAGTTTGGTTAGTTTATTTGTTGTTTGTTGATTTTTTCTCTATTGCAATTGTATATTTGTTTTCTACTTCATTGATTTATGTTCTTTATTTTTTTTTTTTTCTATCTGATTTTCTGAGTTGGAAGCTGAGATCAAGGGTTGCAAACTTATGGCATGTGGGTCAAATCTAACCTGTCACCTGTTTGTGGAAATAAATTTTAAATGGAATACAGGCACTCTCATTTATTGGCAACTTTCACACTACAGCTGCATAGTTGAACAGCTGCAAGAAACCATGCAGCCTGTAAAGCCTAAAATATCTGTCTGGTCCTTTACAGAGAACGTTTGCTGATCCTAGGCTAAGATAATTGATTACCAAGGCCCACATCCTTCTTGGGTGTGAACTACAACCTTTTTCTAGTGATAACCAGGCTGCTGCTAAAATCTTCCCCTAGATCCTCCTTCTGACTGCTTTTTTTTTTTTTTTTTTTTACCTGCTGGGTTTCTTGGAGTCTCATCTTACGAGCTTTGGAGTTGGCAGTACCTCAGCACAGATATTTTTGGGCTCACTTCAGTAATATTAATTGAATTTCAGAATTTTGCTCCTTAGATATCAGGTACTTTGGCATCTTTGAATTTGGATTTCTGTCTCCTCAGCTCAGGCACACTTCCTCTTCTGCTTTGACCCTGTTCTCCTATGCTGAAAATAGTCAAGTGGCCTAAAGGAAAAAAAAAAAACATAGTTAATGCAGTGCTTCCTTCAGTGGATTTTCTTCTCACAGGGATCCTGCCTTTGTTTGTACTGATTGCTCTCTCATTATTTAGAAGAGTGGCTTTGTGTTTTTTTTTTTTTTTCAACTTTCAATTGTTATTTTAGTTTAAGTATGACTCGACCTACTCTGGCATCACCAAAGCTAAATTTTCCTTTGCTCTTTTCATATATTCACATTAATTTCTGAAATCTTTTGTGTATTTTGGAAAAAGATATCTTGTAGTCACATGTATTTTCCCTGCCCTAAAATCTATAGTTGACTGTTTATTCCTTTTAGTGAGTAGTGACATTTCAAAATGAAGATCTGAGTGCTAGGACAATCAGTGGGTGTTAAAACCATTTAGTGGGGACGGCACTGTGGCGTAGTGGGTAAAGCCGCTGTTAGCAGTGCCAGCATCCCATATGGGTGCTGGTTTGAAACCTGATTGCTTCACTTCCGATCCAGCTCCTGGCTAATGCACCTGGGAAAGCAGTGGAAAATGGTCCAAGTCCTTGAGCCCCTGCACTTGGGTGGGAGACCTGGAGGAAGCTCCTGGCTCCTGGCTTCAGATTGGCCCAGCTCTGGCTGTTGCGGTTATTTGGGGAGTGAACCAACCAGCGAATGGAAGACTTCTGTTTCTCTCTGCCTCTGCCTCTCTGTAACTCTGCCATTCAAACAAATACATAAAATCTTAAAAAAAAGACATTTAGTTAAGCAGAGTTGAGGAATAGTATGTTCCCATAGTGCCAAAGTGTCATCCATAAGATTTCCTGCTAATTGCAAAGAGGAAAACATATTTTTACAGTAGAAACAATGGGTGATTATCACGCTAAGTGATTAAACTTAACATTGATAGCAGAAAAAGAACCCTAACATCATGTGCCTCCTGATGTAGTATAATATGAAGTACACAGCATCTCCTATGGAAGTATTGCCAAGAATATTTTACTGGCATCATACCTTTATACCTATAGGAAAAAAGAATGTAGGAACAAGTTAAATGATACCATTAAGAAACAATCGGACAAATCCAGAATGTGAAATATAGTATAAGAAAGTTGGCCCAGACTCTTAAAAAATCATTTTCATGGGAAAAAAAAATGTTGGTAGTAAGGGACTGGTACTAGTCTTTTTTTCCCCCCGTTTTAAGATTTACTTGAAAGGCAGAGTTACAGAGTGAGAGGGAGAGATCCACAGAGAGAAATCTTTTATCTGCTGGTTCACTCCCCAAATGACCACAACAGCCAGGGCTGGGCTGAGCCAAAGCCAGGGCCCTGGAACCTCACCCAGGTCTCCAGCATGGGTGGCAGGGAGTCCAAGTATTTGGACCATAATCTTCTACCTTCTCAGGTACATTAGCAAGGAGCTGCTCTGAGGTGGAGAAGGCAGGACTTAAACTGGCACTCAGATAGGAGATGCTGGTGTTCAGGCAGAGGCTTAACCTGTTGTACCACAGCACCATCCCCGTGGTACTAGTCTTAATTAAAAGAACAGAGAAAAATAACAACCAAATGCAATGATGAATTTTGTTTGGATCTTAATTTGAAAACAAATCTGTTAATAGTGGTGTTTGTTTTATTTGGAACATCTGGGAAAATTTGAATAACAACTTGGTACTTGATGGTATAAAGAATTGTTTAATTTTCTAAGGTGTAGTTATGTTGTGATTATGTAGGCTAATGTCCTTCTTTTGGTGTATTTAAGGTTAAGTGTCATGATGTATGTAGCTTGTTGTCAAATTGCTCATACATATGTGAAACAGATCTTATACACACACACGTACACACACACATTAGGAGAGAAAGACAATAAGTATGGAAAATACCAAATGTGAAATGGTAAGTATACAAATAACCGATGAGCTATTCTTTCTGGAGTTTACAATTTTCATAATAAATTGGTGAAAAATCAGTGGGAAAAATAGATTCAACATCAGAAAAAAGTAAGCTTGCTTCATATTGCTTTACAAAGTCATACAGACTGGAGGGAGGGAATGTTCACATCTGATTAAAAAAATTACATGAAGTAATAAAACATTCTTCAAGGAATTCCATGGCAAGTACATATTTTTTAAATTTTCAAGTTACTTTCTTTAGACTTTAGAAGAATTTGTAAGGGGGTGGGAGGAGACAGGAAATGTTTAGACTAAAACAAATAGTAAAAGGTATACTTTTCAATTCTCTACTTGTTTTTACTCAATTTAGCTACATCAGTTTTGGGAATGTAATAACAAGGATTAGATAGAATGTTGTCAGGTACTGTGCCATTGGTGATACAAAGCTTTTGAGTGAGCAAAAATAAGACATTGGTCTCTGCTCTTATGGGATTGATAGTCTAATAGGAAAGATAGATATTAATTAAATGTTTACAGAAATACAGAGTTGCAAAATGTGGTAAGAGCCACAAAGAAATAGGGTTCTCAGAGTGCCAAGAGAGGTATCTGAGGCAATGTGGAAAGACTCTTGGGGAAGTACTGTTTGAAGTGAGAACTGAAGGCTGATGTAGAATTAAATATTTAAAGAGGCAGGATTGGACTCCTGGCTGTGACTATTGACTCCAGTTTCCTCCTAATTTGGACTCCAGAAGATAGCAGTGATGACCCAAGAGGTTGGGTTCCTGGCCAAATGTGGAGACCTGGATTGAGTTCCTGGCTTCAGCCTGGCCCAGCCCCAGACATTGCAGGCATTTGGGAAGTGAACCAGTGGATGGGAGCTTTTTCTTCCCAACTCTGTCTCTATCTCTCTGCCTCTCAAATAAAAACAAAAATAAATTTGTAAGTGTAGGTGAAAAGCTGTTACAATAGTCCAGGCAAGATATGGTGGTAGTTTGGAGATTGGAGGGTTGGGTGGATGTGGAGACAAGTGGATTTGAGAGATATTTATGTATGCATTTTCATTTATTTGAAAGGTAGAGAGAGGGAGAGAGAGAGGGGGAGGGGGAGAGGGAGAGGGAGAGGGAGAGGGAGAGGGAAAATGAATGAAGAGAGTTGGATCTTCCATCCATGGTTCACTTCCCGAATGCCCTCAACAGTCAGGACTATGACAGACCAAAGACAGGAGCCAAGAACTCAACTCAGGTCACTCAAATGGGTGGCAGGGACCAAAGTACTTGAGCTATCACATCATGCCTTCCATGGTATGTGTTAGCAGGAAGTTGGAATCAGACAGCGCTAGGAGTTGAATCCAGGCACTCCACTGTGGGATGCAAGTGGTATCTTAACCACTGCACCAAACACCTACCCCTGAGGGATATGTAGAGGGTAAAACTGCATGATGAGAGAAAGGGGAATGTCATGAATGCATTCTAGGTTTTCAGCTTCAAAAGTTAGATAAATCATGGAGCCATTTCCTGAGAAAAGAAATATTAAATGAGAAACATATTTGATTTGTTTTTGAGATGGAATATTCCTAAGACATGAGATGTTGAATAAAGGTACCTCCATGTGTCTAGGGAATTTTTTTTATTGTTAAGGTCTACAATATTTATAAGTAAATCTTACAACTAGTGGGCAGATTTTGTTCCTAAAAGGAAAAACAATGAAATAGTAGTGTTATTTCTATCACAATCACTAATTATATGCTATGTTGGACCAGATAAATTCTGTTGGGGCTGCTTCTAAGAGAATTTAATTAATAATATTTTATTATCTATTATAGCATGTTAGTCAGTGCTTGAAAGAAAGCTAAAATATCATATTTACCTGGAACATTATGTTGTATATATATGTGTAGCAACATTACATGGTACCACATACATATAATTCTAATGTGTCATTTAAAAAATCAAATACATTTTAAAGAAATGAAAAAGAAAGCCAAAATGTAAATTAATTGTTTATTTCCTTTCCTTTCATTCTCTACCTGTACTAGGAGTCCCCAAGCTAAATATGATCAGCTGCTTTTCTGAAATTTATAAAAGGAGTGGAGTGACAGGATTTTTCAGAGGCATGACTCCAAATTTCTTAAAATTGCTTCCCTCAGTATGTATAAACTGTGTGGTTTATGAGTCAATAAAACCATTCCTTGGAATATTTTAGAAATGAAATCTTAAATTGTTATCTTTCTATTTGCTTATAATCATAAATTAATCTTTTTCCTTAAATTCCAAGAGTATTTATGAAAAGATGTTATATCCATTTTATAAAAAGATAAACAAGTTAGACTTAAATATTGAATTTTAATTTTATGTAAGCAACAATTATAGATTATGTATGCATCAAAATCGTAAATATTTATAATATCTATTCAAGTTTCTTTAAATTTTAATTAGCACAGAACTATGTATTTAAGTTTCTATTACTGAATATAATCTAATTATATGACCTAATATAATTTTATGATACGCAGTTGAACGATTTTGAAACTTTTCAGAACTTTCTATTTTAAGATTTTATTTACTTATTTGACAGGTAGAGTTACAGACAGTGAGAGGGAGAGGCAGAGAGAAAGGTCTTCCTTCCGTTGGTTCACTCCCCAGATGTCCACAACAGCCCGAGCTGCGCTGATTATGAGCCAGGAGCTTCCTCCCGGTCTCCCATGCGGTGAAGGGGCCCATTCACTTGGGCCATCTTCCACTGCTATCCCAGGCCATAGTAGAGAGCTGGATCGGAAGAGGGGCAGCCGCGACTGGAACTGGCACCCACATGGGATGCCAGCACTGCAGGCGGAGGATTAACCTACTACGCCACAGCGCCAGCCCCAGAACTTTCTATTTTAAAAAGCTACCATTTCAAAGCTTTAAGTGCATATTTTAAATCTATTTGAAAGCATTACAAGAAAATCAACACATTTAAAATTATAATTAATAGCAAAACATTGGAGTTTGAGCCTCTTTTTTTCCTTTGTCTAAGTTAAACAAAATATGGAAGCTCCTAAACAGAATTTCATGGCGTCAGAACACTTCGGTCTCCTATGAATGTTGTGAATGGAGTAATAGTGATCTAGTGCTCCTTTACCTAGAATGCTTATTTGTAGATATGGACTTGCTCATGTTATTCTCCTTTTGAATATTAAAAACTTTACAAGAAAGCCACCAATGTGAATGATACGTTTTAGAAAAATTTAAGAACTCTTGTACTTTAAATCTGTGTGTGTTTTTTTAAGGCAGGAAAACTATTTAACTAGTTCCTCATATTTATTCAGTACTTTATTGTGCTTTTAAGTTGTTAGGTTTTAATAAAGAAACACTGATTTGAACTAGCTTTTGTAATCCTAAGCTTATATGAAGGATGAATAGTAAAGTATTTTTGCCACTTATTTTTTCTTCATTTTAAGAATAAAATATATGAGTAGCAAATATGGCATAGGTTGGAAATATTGTGATGTGTTTTCCACATTCTTGGGTTTTGGGAAGTGTTCTGACTTCAAAATTTTTTGACTGGGGCTGGCGCTGTGGCACAGAAGATTAAGCCTTCACCTATAGTGTCAGCATCCTACATGGGTGCCCATTCAAATCCCAGTTGCTCCACTTCTGATCCACATCCCTGCTAATGTGCCAAGGAAAGCAATAGAAGATGGTCCAAGTGTTTGGACCCTTGCACCCATGTGGGAGACTCAGATGAAACTCCTGGCTCCTGTCTTCGGCCTGGCCCAGCCCTGTCCATTGTGGCCATTTGGGGAGTGAACCAGCAGATGCAGATCTCCCTTTCTCTGTCTTGCTCTTTCTATCTGCATCTGGCTCTCCTTCTCTGTAACTCTTTCAATTAAATAATAAAATCTTTAAAAATTTTTTGATTATAATAATTGTATGTTTTGGGGGTTACAGTGCAATATTTGAACATATATACATAAAATAAACCAATCAAAACAGGCAGCTAGAGTTTCCATTTTCTTTTCTTTTGAGGGGGGAGCTCTGGCAATATATTTTCTATTTTTTTGCCCCAGAAACCTTTTATTTAAGGAATATAAACTTCATGCATTTCATAAATACAACTTTAGGAACATAGTGATTCTTCCCACTGTACCCCCCACTTCCTCTTCTGTTTCCTATTGCCATTTTTATTTTTTACTAAGATCTATTTTTTTTTTTTTTTTTTTTTGACAGGCAGAGTGGACAGTGAGAGAGAGAGACAGAGAGAAAGGTCTTCCTTTGCCGTTGGTTCACCCTCCAATGGCCGCCGCGGTCGGCGCGCTGCGGCCGGCGCACCGCGCTGATCCGATGGCAGGAGCCAGGAGCCAGGTGCTTTTCCTGGTCTCCCATGGGGTGCAGGGCCCAAGCACCTGGGCCATCCTCCACTGCACTCCCTGGCCACAGCAGAGGGCTGGCCTGGAAGAGGGGCAACCGGGACAGAATCCGGTGCCCCGACCGGGACTAGAACCCGGTGTGCCGGCGCCGCTAGGCGGAGGATTAGCCTAGTGAGCCGCGGCGCCGGCCCTAAGATCTATTTTCAATTAATTTTATATACATACAATTAACTCTACATACAATTAACTCTTTGCTAAGTAAAGAGTAACAAATAGTATGAAAAAAGAATGTTGCTCAACAGTCTGGACAAGGGCTATTGGAAGTCATTGATTCTCAAAGATTCAATTTCATTTCTTCCTTTTTTAAAAAGATTTATTTATTTATTTGAAAGTCAGAATTACAGAGAGAGAGAGAGAGGGAGAGAGAGAGAGGGAGGTCGGTTGGTCTTCCGTCCACTGGTTCACTCCTCAATTGGCCGCAATGGCTGGAGCTGTGCCAATCCGAAGCGAGGAGCCAGGAGCTTCTTCCAGGTCTCCTACGCAGGTGTAGGGGCCCAAGGACTTGGGCCATCTTCTACTGATTTCCCAGGCCATAGCAGAGAGCTGTATGGGAAGTGGAGCAGCCAGGACTTGAACCGGCACCCAAATGGGATGCTGGCACTGTAGGCGGTGGCTTTAACCGCTACTCCACAATGCTGGCCCCAATTTCATTTCTATAGATTACCTTTTAGGTGCTCTATTAGTTATCGCAGATCAGGGAGGATATATAATATTTGTCCTTTTGGGACTTGTGGGCAGCCACAGGTAGTCTCTCCCTTTGTTTACACTTAAACATATGAATGGAGACTTCCGGCACAATTAGGCTAGGGAGATTCCGGGAAGAGGCAGGAAGAACCTAAACCTCTCACAAGAGATAATATAGATAATCAGTCACACATGAAACCTGCATTTATCACCTAAGTGTTTTATTGTAACCTTAAAAGCCTTTTTGATATGTAAATCTTTTGTGCTCCTTCTTGTAAACAACTGGTCATGTTTAAATACTACTGGATTTGTTCAATAAACAAGCCTTGATCAGGACTTGTCTTGGCTCCATTCTTTGCGTCCTTGTCCCCGAATTCCCACTCTCTGTTTCAGGAAAACCCAGTTCGTTGTGCCGCAGGCCGGCACAGGGACTGGCTTATTTCACTAAGTATAATGTTTTCCAGTTGCATTCCTTTTGCAAATGACAGAATTTCATTTTTTTTTACCACTGTGTAGTATTCCATGGTGTACATATCCCATAATTTCTTTATCCAGTATTCAGGTTATGGACATTTGGGTTGATTCCATATTTTAGCTATTGTGAATTGAGCTGCAATAAACATGGGGGTAGAGGTAACTCTTTCATATACTGATTTCATTTCCCTTGGGTAAATTCCCAGGAGTGGGATGGCTGAGTCATATGGTAGTTCTATATTCAGATTTCTGAGGTATCTCCATATTGTCTTCCATAGTGGCTTTATTTCACCTTTATTTATAAATAAGAGCTTTGCAGGGTACAGTTTTCTGGGTTGACATTTTTTTTTTCTCTTAAGACTGGGAATATATCTTTCCATTTTCTTCTAGCTGGTAGTTTTCTGATGAGAAGTCTGCTGTGAGTCTAATTGGAGATCCTCTGAAAGTAATCTGGTGTTTCTCTCATACACATTTTAGAATCTTTTCTTTATGTTTTGCTGTGGACGGTTTGATTACAATGTGTGTGGTGCAGATCTTTTCTGCTCATGTCTATTAATAATTCTATGTGCTTCCTGTACTTAGATGTCCCATTCTTTTTCCAAATATAGTGATGTTTTCATAATTATTTCACTAAAAAGGCCTTATTTTTTCCCATTTTATTTATTTATTTAACTTTTATTTAGTAAATATAAATTTCCAAAGTACAGTTTATGGATTACAATGGCTTCCCCCCACCCATAACTTCCCTTCCAGTCCCACCCCTCCCATCTCCTGCTCCCTCTCCCATTCCATTCACATCAAGATTCATTTTCAATTATCTTTATATACAGAAGATTGATTTAGTATATATTAAGTAAAGATTTCATCAGTTTGCACCCACACAGAACATAAAGTGTAAAATACTGTTTCAGTACTAGTTATAGCATTGATTCACATTGAACAACACATTAAGGACAGAGATCCCACATGAGGAGTAAGTACACAGTGACTCCTGCTGTTGACTTAACAATTTGACACTCTTGCTTATGGCCTCAGTAATCTCCCTAGGCTCTAGTCATGAGTTGCCAAGGCTATGGAAGCCTTTTGAGTTCACCAACTTCAATCTTATTCAGACAAGTTCATAGTCAAAGTGGAAGTTCTCTCCTCCCTTCAGAGAAAAGGTACCTCTAAAAAGGTGTTATAATCCATTCTCTCTTTCCACGCCTTCAGGAACTCCTAAGACCCTCTTTGTTGGGGTCATTTGATAGTATCCCATAAATTTCTAACACTGTTTTTTAGTTTTCTAATTTCTTTCTTTCTTTTTTTTTTTTTTTTTTTTTTTTTTTGGTCTGACTATAAAATTTTCCAGAGATTTCATGTATTCTTTCTTCTGCCTCACGGAGTCTGTTGTTCAGGCTTACCACTGCATTTTTTATTTGATCTACTGAATTCTTCATTTCTAATATTTCATTTTGATTTATCTCTCTCTTTTTTTTAAATTTATTTGACAGGTAGAATTACAGACAGAGAGAGAGACAGAGAGTAAGGTCCTCCTCTGCCAGTTCACCCCCCAAATGGCCATAATGGACATCATTATGCACCAATCCGAAGCCAGGAATCAGGTGCCTCCTCCTGGTCTCCTATGTGGGTGCAGGGGCCCATACA